TCTCTCTCTCTCTCTCTGTCAAATCAATGAAAACATGCCCTTGGAGAAGAGTTAAAAAAAAGGAATGACTTTTTAAAAATCATAATTTACCAAGTTAGTAAAAGCATAAAGTTATATGTACCAAACTATACAGCAGCTAAGAAAACAAAGCAAAACTATTAGAGATACAAGAAGAAAATATCTTTTTAATATTGTTATGTCAGGTTTAATCCAAGTTACATTGATACAACTCTAGGAATTAAACAGCTCTTGGGATAAAAATTCAGGAATATTACAGACAAGTTATTTAATGAGCTTATTTATTTAGACCCCAAGACCCTGCAAGAGGAGAGCACATGTTGGTTTTTAAAAGGCTCTGGTAGGTTTGGCTACGTTTGCTGCAATCACAGGCTTGGACCTGACTGTGATAAATAAAGAAATTGAGATTTTATAGATCACGTTTTCAGGTCACAAGTCAATAAAATTCAAACCAAAGAACAAGAAGGACTACGCAAAACCTAACTATTTAAAAACGAGGAAACCTATTCCTATGTAAGCTAAGATCCAAAGAGGTGATGAATCTGAAGTTAGACATTTATAAAGAGAACACTTTCTGTCAAGCTGCTGTCAGTAAGGCCGCCTTAAATACCTTTGTTATCAAAGACAGAGGCCAAGTGAAAAACAACAAAAGAACTGAAAAGAAACTAGGAAAGTGTTCTCGAACACTTCCAAATTAACTCCTCTGAAGTTGATGGGGACAGAAAGAAAAATGGGGACAGAAAGGAACGGAGACAGAAGGCACTAAGGCTGGTCTTGAGCACACTAAGGCAAGTGTGCTCTCAGAAGGGCTACGGGGTCTGAGAGGTATGGAGGGGTCACCCTGCCTGAGGCCCACACCCTTGAAAGTGGCCAGACAAGATTTCACAGGCTCCAAGTGATGAGCCCTGGCTGTGGTGTGACATACAGCCTGTGAAAACCCCAAACCTGGTGGCCGCCCAGCTATAGAACTCACACCCCCCTGGGGTCTCTGCCCTGGGGTCTTGGAGGCCAAGTCCTTACCCCCAGCTCCTCGGCGATCTTCTGCCAATGCAGGTAGCTGTGCTTGGCCGCGATGGCCTTCAGCCTGTCCACCTCCTGCCCGGTCCACTCCTGCTTATTGATGCTAGGGTGTTCCCAGTTCTGCCAGAACTTCCGGATCTCCTCTGCGCTGCGGCCACCTTCAAACTGCACAGAGAGACCCAGCCTGCGGGGGCTGTCAAGGATGGCGGGCAGATGCGAAGCTTCCTCTGCAACCATCCCTCTCAGCAGAGGCCTCGCACCAGCGGGCAGGTCCATGAAGCCGCTCCGTGGTGCTGGACATGCACCTGACCATGGGGGTCATGGCAGGCCTGTTGGCCAGGGAGTGTGCCCCGACTTACATTAACGTTGGAAATCTTCTCCCAGTCATGGTTGTCCAGCCTGCTCCCCAGCAAGGTCTCCTCCGGGAGCTGGCTGCAGAGGTGAGGGCACTGGGTTAGGCTGGCCCCCCTCACTCCCCAACCACACCACCTGGTGTCCCCCACTCACTTGATATCCTGGATCTCCTTCTCTGCCTCACTGCTCTGCTTCTCCAGGACCCGTCTCTCCGCTTCACTCGTGACTCTGCTCTGTTTCTGGTGCAGGTACTCGAGCCTGTTGGCGGGGCAGGGGCAGCAGGGTTACCTGTGGGGGGCTCGGGGGCCAGCTGGGCAGGTTACTCCCCAAAGCACAGGGGTAGGGGGTACTGACTGGGAGCCTGGCTCTGATGGATTCTGACCCCACAGACTAGTTAACCTTCCCGAGTTGCCTCGGCTTCCTTGCCCACGGAGAATGCAGTGGACCCCCTCTGGCTGTCACCATAGTCACATTGGCAGCTAGTACAGCAATGTGCTTGCTGATGCAGGGGGTGGTAACTGTGGCCACCTCATGTCCCGGAGCCGTGTCCCAGCACAGGAGTTGGGCCGCAGACGTCCTGACCCTTGTGCTCAGCAACAAGGCCAGGCTGGAGGTGAGCCCTGACACCCGCACTTGCCCACATCCAGAACAGTTCAGAAAACCAACCGCTCCCACAGCCCAAGGAGGGACCCGACCATCACCACAGATAATCCTAACTCCAGCATCAAGGTGTGAGGCAACAAGTGGCCCCTGGGACCCACTGGCCAGGCCACAGGTGCTGTGATTTGGTCACATGATGCCACCCCGTCAGCACACACATAAAGCAGGTCTCATGAATGGTCCCCATTTTCACAGGTGGGAAAAAGGCCCAGACCAGAGAAACTGCCTGAGTCAGACAAGTAAATGCGGGTGCTTGGTCAACCCTGCTTCCATACTGGACCTCCATGCCGCTGCCTCCTCCCACTGCAGCAGAAGACCCGGCAGGAAGGAGGCACACGGAGCCTCTGACAACCCCAGGGAGGCAGCCCTCGCCAGTCCTTGTAGACTCACTTCAGTAACTTGGGCTGAAGCAGGCGCTGCAGGCGGTCGCTCACCACTGACTTTCTGAGCAAGGCCTTCTCCCAGCTCTTCCCTGAGAAGAAACGATGGCTCAGTGAGAGCTCACATGGGTCACTGCCTCCTCAGAACCCCTGCACGCCACTAGCTCTGACTTCCACGTAAAGTCAGAAGAAATGAAAGGTAAATGGCCCATCTAGGCCCAGCGTGAGGAGTCCTCACAAGGACCCCGCTCAGTGTGGGGGTTGGCAGGGGCTTCAAGTGGCCCGTCCCAGTGGTCAAGGCTCAGGAGGGAGCTGTGAGAACCCAGAACAAGCTTGGGGAGAGCAGGTGTGGGGAGGCCTCTGTGGTGCCCAAGCTCGGCTCTTACATTTGGTCACCAGGAGCTCCTCGAAAGTCTTAATGCCCTGGGCAGCCTTCTCCCGAGTGTCCTCGTTGGCAGGAGGCCCCTGTCAGAGAATGCAGCATCACAATGCGGACAGACCCAGGTGTGCTCACCTGGAGGGCCCAGTGTGGCCTCGGGACTCCTTCTCCTCAGCCTCCTTGAGCAGCCTGGCGACGTACACCTAGACCCAGAGTAGCTGCCTCATGAGGGGCATTGGGCACCACCCAACAGGCAGAGGGTGGGCTCAGGGACTGCAGAAGGGCTGATAAAGGGGGAGGGTTGCCACTAGCAACACCGGGCCCAATACTGCCAGGACCGGATATCCCTGCCAAGCTGGTGCCCATGGGTATCTCTAAAGGACATGTCCTGGGGCTTATCCGTGGAGCAGAGATTGGCCAGCCCCATTCCTACAAGGGAAGGAGGCCTTGACTTTCTCCAGTGGGCCCAGGAGAGTTTTAGGAGAATATTATCCTGAAGACCAAGGGAATTCACGACAGCCACGGCAGGCTGTGGAGGCACAAGGCCTCCCCATAGAGTCTGACCACCTTGTGACTCACCACTCCAGTGACCCTGTCCTTGAAGTAGGGCTTCAGGAAGTGGCCGACGTACAGGTTCAGGGGCAGGCTCTTGCCATCCTTCACCTTGGGGCCTTTGGATCCTGCCAGGTCCCACATGACTTCCTCCTGTGGACACAACGGGCCCATGGGCAGCTCAAACTCTCTTTGTGGAGAAGGGTGCCAGTCCCAGGAGGCCTGGTCATGGGGGTCCTCGGAGCCAGACCCCAACCTACCTGCTGCTCCCGGTTCTGGGCCAGCAGCAGGCTGACCTCTGTCAGTTTCTCTTGGATGACCTCCTGGTAGACCATGTTCAGCTGCAGGCAGGTCTCTGGGTCCTCAGGAAGCGTCTTCTTGGGGTCGTCCTCATCATTGCTGGCTTCATCCCACCTTTCTTCTTCCTAGTCACAAATGGGAGACCACAAGTGAGAAAATGGGGCATATAAACGCTCCCATCCTCGGGGCCTGGTGGTGCAGCTGGGCCCTGAGCCCATGTCCTGGCCACTCGACTGGTGATACCACCCTGATGTGGAATTCCAAAGTGTACCCATTTCCTCATCAAAAATGCAGGAAACTCAATGTCTAGGAATTGGGGTTGGGGAGGTGTGAGGAAACGGTAGTTTCACTCTCTACAACAAGCATTTATGCTAAATTTGGACTCTGTGATGGGTCCATGTGACGTACATTACTGGCAGGTGACAGGCAGCTACAGTGCATGCAAAGCTAGAAAATGGAAGTAATTAAACTCATTAGAAGACACAGTGAGTCTGAACAGCTACTGCCAGCCCACAACAGGGGGCCTGCCAGCTGCTGTGTACAGGAGGTGGTGCTGCTCCCACCCACAGGGTGAAGAAACAAGCAAACTATGGAAATTTCCCCAAGTTAGAGAAAATTCCAAAATAATCAAAGAACAGTTAACAGTCACCAGCCTAACTAACTTCTTGCTAGGTACTACTCTAGGTACTTCCACATGAGAACTGACTTGGGCTGTAACTGTCCCCGCTGCACAGACTGGGAAACCGAGGCCCAGAGGTGAGCTGCGGGGGGCAGCACCCAGGCGGCCTGTTGCCTGCCCTCTGTGTGTGATGTGTTGAAACGAATGAGGGCTAAACACCAAGAGTGATTCCTTGTAGGGGCAATTTTACGCTAAGAACTTTGATGTGTAACTTTAATAACACACACACATTGTTTTTGTATTGTAGGAACACCCCCCTCCCTGGGCCGGCTGGAAGGGTGGTATGTCTGCCGTGGAGGGAGCAGCCAGCTCAGGCCAGTAGTTACCGAGATCAGGGGAGCAGCAGCGTCCGAGTCCTCATCAGGCAGTGAATCTGTGGGAACACAAGCACACCGCTGTGACCTTGAAATAAAAAGGTGGCTGGCAAGGGGACACAACAGACTGAGGAGCCGACTGGCAGGTGCAGCACACGGCCCATCTCCTGGGCAGCTGCAGATGAGGGGAGGGCCGAAAGACCTCAGGGTGAGCCTTGCGTTGCTGGACCTTCCCTCCCCGACAGCACCCAGAGGCTGAGCACCGCTCACTGACCAGGCAGGTGGGAACTGGAATGGGCAGGGTAGTGAGAAAGAGAAGACAGAGACCTAACATGAAGTGCCCCCAGGCATGTAGGGAACAGTAACTATGGGCACAACCAGGGGAAGAGGCCCTGGGAATAGGGGGAAAAAAGGCCCTGGAGGGGTCGGGAACTGTTAGAAGTTGGGCCTCAGAACTGAGCCTGGGACCGGGGAGAGGTAGACAGGCTGGGGGACCCTGGACAGCTCAGCCACTGCAATCAGGTCTCTAGTAGGAGCTATGAGGGGCACTCAGGCCTCAGGGGAGAATGGAGGACAGTGGGTAGGGAGGCAGAATGTGAGCTTTGGCAGCAGGGGACCCAGAGGGCAGCTGGTTGAGCCCAGAGAAGAGAGCTGGGGGGCAGGGGGCCGTCAGCTGTGGTGGCTGTCCAGGAATGGGGTTCTTCCAGGACAGCCTGATACAGGTGCCCATCATGGGGCAGGGTACTCGCACACACTCAGCAGGTCCAGGGGCTGATGAAGAAGGAACAGCAAAAAACTGTCCATGGGGTGAAGGCGGAGGCCGGTTCCGGTGAGAAATGGCCTGGTCCCAGCTGCACAGCAGTGTCACATGGCTAGCAGGAGCCTAGGGCAGACACAGCTGCTCTAAACACTTGAGGAGGCTGCACACCTGGGAGCTTACCTGCGTCAGAATCTGAATCGAGACTTGATTCCGAGACCTCCACGTTGAAACTAGAGGAGCCGGGATCCAAAATCCTTTCCAGCTCCTTGATCTCCTGTGTTATTTTCTCTCTTTCAGCGTCTACATCCATGGTTTCTGCCTTCTTCCAAAATACGTCACGAGACTTTACATTAAAAACCAAGGTGCGCGGGAACCCTCCTTTCCTTCCGATGTGCTCACCTGCAGGGCATGGCAGGAGCTGACCAAAACAAGTACTGGACTCTGAGAGGCCTGGCTGGGGGGTCGCGGGGCTGAGACCTGACACCCTCCATGCCCCATTGCGTTCCGGCTCTGCTGTCGGGTGCTGAAACCAACTACATGGGTCCTGCCTGCTCCCAGGCTGCAACCAGCATGTGAGGAGGGGAGTGATGGGCACCAACAGGACCCAACTGGCTGGTCTGTCTCCCCACAAGCAAGCCACCAGAGAGCTGGTCAGCCTGTGCAGAAAGGGCAGGGTGTGGTGGCAGTGACCAGGGACAGGAGGAGGCCATGCAGCTCTCCCGCAGCAGAGCTGGCTGCACAGCGGGTGTCTTGCGATTGCTCTGTGACCAAGTGGCCGGCACCGACAGCAGGGGATGGCAGTCCCGGGGCAGGGTCTGCTTGGCCCTGTGCCCCGCAGCTAGAACAGGGACTGTCGTGACTGACACTGAGCGGACGCCTGTTGAAGGAACGGGGCCCCGGTCTGGGAGTCGGAAAGGGGGAGGAGGCTGGACACAGAGGGTAGGACAATAAAGCACGGGCAGGGAAAACGCCAAAGGAGCACAGCACAGACCCGGGGGCCGAAAGCGAGCGAGAGGAACAGCGTCCCCGCCCTCGGCACAGCCTCTCCCGGCGGAGACCGACCAGCCACCGCTCGGGATAGCCCCTGTCCCTGCACAGAGTGCCCACTTTACACCTGAAATGCTTACAGACGGGACTCAGTGGAGAGCCAGCCGGGACCGTGGGCCGGCAGCACGCACGCTCGCCTCTTCCCTCCCCGCCCCGGGGAGCCGCCGCCGCCGCCGCCGCCCTCACGGGTTCGCAGCACCACCGCTGCCGCACCACACTTCCGGCAACCACGCGACTCGGACGCTGCGGACCGGAAGTCCCGCCTCCGCGGTCGCGCCCCGGGCCGGAGAAC